TTTTTATGTTTTTACGACTCCAAAATGCTGTTATGTCAGCCGCATCGGCTGCCGACCGGGTCTCAATAAACTATCTTTCTCGCGCTTATAGATACTCATAAGACTTTCTTATCACGCTCATTTTAAGTCTTTATTCGCTTCTGGCAAGTATTAAATCCCATTGAATTCGTCTGGCAATTAACACATATTTTTTAATATCATCTATAAACACGCTGTAAAAAATTTAGAATGCCTAAAGTATGTTTTCCAGGTATAATAATTAAACATATTTGGAATGGTCTGGTTACACTTTAAACCCGAAAAAAAAGTCTGGCACACTTATTTCTAGGTTAAATAGATGCTAAAATTTAAGAATAAACAAATTTCAAGTTGCCTAAAGAATGTTTTTTGGATTCATTTTTTTGCAAATGTTATGGGTTGCGCAGTAGCGAAATACCCCCAACCCCCCAGCCAGACTTAGGATTCTGGGTTCACCAGTTAATAAACTATACATTTTTAGTTATTCTAGCTTGCCTAAAACATGTTTCTAAATATGTCTATCTGAAGATATCCAAATATTTACTTTTATATTTTTTTTAGAATTTTCACAAATTATACTTCCTAAGAGTTTTGGAATAATTATGTAAACTTGTTTTCGTATACTCGCTATTTAAACCCGTGTATTTGTATATATCGATTGTTTACGATATTTTCCGATGGTGGCAGCACAGGCGGAAAATGCACCAAGTTTATAATGAAGTTATTACTTTATACAGCTTAAATTAAAAAATAATCAATGTTTTAATATATTTACGTTAATTAGTTTTTCTGAAAAACGGTACAGAAAGTACGGTACAAACGGTACAAAAAAAGTTTACAGAATTAAGCAAGCCATGAAAGTTTATTTAATAATAAAGATAAGTTATTGCAACGTTTGTGGGTGTTGCATATAAGAAACTTTATTTTATATAAGGACATGTACAGTACGTTTGTCCGTTCTGTAGCTACGGGGTATCCGTGAGAGGGGCAACGATATTCTCTCGATGTTTTTCGTAAAAAATTAGACGACGCGTCCCATCAATAAAAATTCGAAAAATTTGCAAGTAGCCAATAAAATGAGTGGGCGGAGCGATTTGCGGTGACGTACTCGTCAAGTCGACGAATAAAATATATTGCTGTTTATTTAAATGTTTTTTGTCCGCATTCCTTTCATAGACACAGATCCAGCAGATGTACTGTATGTGAAATGCCTGTGAAACATTGGAACCCGACATTATGTCACGATCCACGATACAGAAAAGAAAGGTTTTTGCAGTTCACAGTTCACACAGCTTTTTAAGTTTTAATGTCACTTTTTCACAATTATCACGGGTTTGAGTAAATAAAATTTAAATTAAACTCGCAAGATAGCAATAATTATTTTAAAAATGGACGCTTTAAACACTTTTCGGTATTTTTTCAATGAGGGCGGTTTAAATTTTAAGATTTTATAATTTTTGAAGATTCTGACTTTGACAAGAAACAATTATTTCTGTTCTTGTTTGCGGTTGTTCTTAGCAACCGCTATAGCAGTGCCCTACGACGTATGCGCTCCAAAACAATTACTTAAGTTTTGGCGGCAAGCCGAGCATTCCAATCTAAACTTGTTTCCTTTATCTATGGGTTGACAGACGGATTTTTCAAATCAAAAACTAGGATACTTAAAAAATATTTTATTTAACTAGCGTGGAATAGCCAATAACCAAAAATTTACCTTGAATAAATTATTTGATTGTTTTGATTACCTATTTTAAACCGGCCGCCTATGTGAAAAAGTTAAATACTGCATAAGTTTGGGTCATATTTCAAGAATGATAGCCCGCAGGAAATATCTAGTTACGCCACTGAATTCTACGAGGAAAACTTTATGGATCTCAGATTTCACCATTTCGATAAGCTATAAGATAACCGAGATACGAAGGGGGTAAAAAAATGCAGCATTTTCAATTTCGCACTGTATTTCAGAAACTAAGAGGGCTAGGGCAAACTTGTGTGCAGCACTTCTAGTTTCATAAAAAAGTAGCACACTGATGTAAAAACCACATCTTTGTAGCTCTACTCATAAACGATAAACTCGCCAAAACATACAAAAATGGGACACCACTTTTCATATGTGATACGCAGTAGTGAACGCAACGTTTACCGGTAGCCAGGCGAGTCCGTACGCCGTTGTAGAATGAGAGGGATGGGGGGTTAATCACCGCGACCTTAAAGATCTCTATTGTGTTCCCCTTCCTTGAGTTATAATTTCTAACTCATCATACAGTCTACAACCCATCATACATGTTGTAGGGGGACATCCTCCTCTGACAACAGATGTTCTTCCTCCAAGGGTATACACCCTTCCATGGTTGGAGTTTGGCCTTTCGTCCTTTCACAGTCGAGGAGTTTGCCTCCGGCTGAGGTACCAGTGAGGTGGAGGCTGGAGGACCTGGTCCATTTTCTTCCGCCTCTTTAACTTGGACTGTCCTTTGACCTGTGTTCTCCGTATCTATAATAGAGGATATATCCCTCTTTTTCTATTGCCTCCTTGGATTTGAGGTCAATTCCTATTGTGAGGACCTAACCATGACTCTCTCCCCTCGAGCTGATGACTCGCCAACTCGATGTCCTTACATTGGAGTTAAGGCTGGATAAGGATCAACAGGTGAAAAAAAAAGCAAAGCAAAGAAAGCCTTTCCCCTGGCTCCTCGGCAGAGAGACCGCGATGGCCACCTCTTTTGAGATGTTTTCTCTCTTCACCGCAACCAGTCCCGGCCCTTGCCAATTTTTAAACTTAGGTGCGATTTCCACCAACCAATCCGCCGATTGTTGAGATACACAATGTATTAGGATCATGCCCACCCGAAAGTGCATCCCCGCAAAACGCAGTTGACCCATATTTTGTAGATTGTTGTATTTCGATCCGGTCGCCACTACTTACCCCTTTTCCAAGGAGTGTTTTCGCTTTTGCTTCCTCTGGAGCAAGTCCTTCGTGGAGCAGTCGGAGGTATCTCCGTACTCCTGCTCCACTAAAACCTACTCTCAGAGGATCGTCTAGTCCGCCTGGTTAACCCAGGTCGGGTAGGCGAAACGGTAGCTTGTGTCGCTTATTGGGTCTAGAGGTTCCTTGCTGGAGGAAGTGATAGCTTGTGTGCCACTTGTGGAGGATGATCTCGCGCAAGTGTCAGCCGCCTCTCCTGTAGATCCCTTTGGGTTTGATCCCTTGGAATTATCATTGTTAATACCCAGTGTCGCTTGGGGGTTTCCCCACAGCTTCACCGGTGGTATTTTTAATACTAGATCTCATAGTGTTCCCACGTTGCTAGGGATAATCGGTCCACTTCTACAGCGCCCCGCATGTAGAAATAAGGGGTAAATACAATGGAGTGCCCCCCTCGCCACAACACTACAGCCAAGGACAGGACAGTGAGATGCTTCTTAGACCGAGCTAAAGTGCTAGAGGAGATTTCCCCAATACCTGACTAGAAGATTCCCCATCAACGATAAGGTCTTGTATCTCCTAGGGGAAACGCACGCTGTTAGAGAGCATAGCAAAAGATATATTAAAGAACCACGTTGTCGTGACGTTGCTAACTTTCGTACTACTATTTTCAAAAGGAAATTATTATACTAAAAAACGACATCATGGACAAAAGGAAATTATTATACAAAAATGCCATTACTCATAGACTCAAAATATTACCGTCACTTTTTTCTGTTTCATTTCTATTTAAGGAGAGAAATGAAACAGAAAGTTCCTAAGAATAAATGAACTATTTTACATGTAAGTCATAAAACAGGAAGGCTCACGGATGTTGGGACCGGGCTGGCCATCGCCACCCGAAATTATAAGTATATAGCCAGTCCGACCCTGAATACGATTCTGCTTATATAGTACTATACAGTTTATGGTAGTACTGAAGATATTCCTTCGTTTAAAATATATTTTTTTAAATATAAATGTGAAACACATTGCAATAGCAGGATTTTTCTTGACAGGTAATTGTCGAACATCTCATAACGCAACTTTTCGTCTTATTAAACCGATATTATCTGTATAGAGATATTGTAACCATATCTCTTGTAGGTTCCAGATACCAGTGGTGGTTATCGAAATTGTTGGTGCGTCTCAAAAGGGGCTGACCCCTATAACTTTTTTATTTCTTCAGATAAAAAAAACGAGATTTGGTAAGTTAATATATGACATAAATTAGGATTGATTGACGTATTCAATTGTTTTTAGTCACTTCCTGTTTCGCCGGAAATGGCTACAGCCTACAACTTTTGATTTTTAAATGGCACCCTGGGTATATTTTTACTTTATTCACTAGAAAATGATACTCTGAATAGAATGACATATCATATGTCAACTTTTGACATTTTTTCTATAAAAAAAATCGTATTTTAAATTTTAATCTAGAGTGCCATGGCTGTGTTAACAACACTAATTTTTAATCAAAGAGCCTTAGAGAAATAAATTTGATCGTCTAATGTTTTTCGTGTCTTGTCCTGGCCGGTTAAAAGATGCTCAAATCGTATTTTTAATCATATTATCTCAATTTTTTCAAATAGAACAAGGGTGCCTCATTAGCATATTTGGAAAAGTCATTTTTTTACTAATAATTTGGTACACTTGGTATTTCGAGTCAAATTGTCGTTATGAACCGCATGTTACAATTTCAAATAAAGCCTATGCGAAAATGTCAAAAGTTGATATATGATATATCATTCTATTCAGAGTGTCATTTTCTATCGAATAAAGTAAAAAATACCGAGGGTGTCATTTAAAAATCAAAAATTGTAGTCAGTTCCGGTAAAACAGGAAGTGACCGAAAACAATTGAATACGTCATTCAGTCCCGATTTACGTCATATACTAACATACCAAATCTCGTTTTTTTTATCTGAAAAAATAAAGTTATAGGGGTGAGCCACTTTTGAGACACACTCGGTATATACTTATCTATTATAGAAGTTAATTATTGTTTAATTTACTTTCAGAATTCAAAAGTAAAAAAAGGTGGATCGTTTCTCTGCCATGAATCTTACTGCTGGAGATATAGATGTGCAGCAAGATCATTTAATACCAAGGATTCCACGGCTGCAAATTTAGGTTTTAGGTGTGCAAAAGATATTTCTTAATGTAATTATGATGTACTTAGTAAATTTTCTATTTCATTTAATAAAATAATGCAAATTTGTATATTTTGTTTTTTATTAAGTTAAGGCTACCCAACATCTAAAATTATTATTATGTTATTAAAAAATGTCTATACTCTATACCTATGTGGCGGATTCATCTCTCCAAAAAATTTTATATGGGTATTTCGCCACTGCAAAAAAAATCTACAAAATAAAATAGTTAATTTTACTTGTCAGCAGTTAGATTTACAGATATACAAATTTGCCTAACGAACAAAAAAATGCTTAACGTTTCGGAAAGTTTATCTCTTTCCGTCGTCGGAAGCAAAAAAAATACAAAGAATAAAGAAAAAAACTAGTTTTTTTTAAACAGATACGTCTACAAACACCGTTGACGTTCTGTGAAAAATTATGTCATGGTTACTAATGAAGAATGTTGATAGGTTGTGTTAGGTGGTGCCCCCTAAATATGCGAGCTATATATTGTTACGGATTCCGTGGATCCACTAATTTAAACTCACGATAAAATACTTAACGAATTTATTTTTTCTCACTCTGTACACACAATTTATACTGATTATAAAACACAATTTATGCAACTACTATTACTCTAACTTTTCTGGCACCTTAGCCAATTAATTCACAATTTAAAACGCGGTATTATCAAACTTCCAACTGTCCCAACTGCCGATCGCGCGTGTTTTATATACCCCTACCAACTGTTTCTGGAATCTTCTATAGAATTCTGTAATACTTCTTTTACTTTCTGGTGAATTCGCCAGGTTTCTCGACACGTTACGATTTAGTTGCTCGCTTCTCCGACAGATGACGCCACATATACCTTGACATTGCCCCCTTCTCAAATTTGATCAAGGTTTCCTGTCTGGTATCTCTTCAATCGATCTTCAATCTTACTTCAAGGGCTGCGTTGAATCCGGTACACAACATCATTTATCCTCTTGACTGTATAAGGACCTTCCCATGCTGGAGTTAACTTTGGAGATCTTCTTTTCTTGCGCTGCGGGTTATATAACCATACCATATCGTCCTGTTGAAATCCCGTAGAATTAGCTCTGAGGTCGTAACGAGCTTTGATCCGGTCACTGGCTAGCGCAAAATCCCTCTAACGGCCATATGAATTTCTAATAGCCTTTCCTTTAGTTCATCCGCTTCCATCCTTTACGTTCGTGGTGCTGTCGTCTGGTGATCCGAACACCAAGTCACAAGGCAACCGTAATTTTCGACCAAATAAAATCTTCGATGGTGAAAGTTCGGTGGTGTTGTGCACTTTTATACGCCATTAGAAATAGCGGTATGTGCTGATCCCAATCTCTTTGATGTTCGTCCACCATTTTCGAGAGGTGTTCTTCAATGATTCAATGGTCTTATTGAATCTTTCGACCATCAGACTGCGGATGTAAAGCCGTTGTCCTAGTCTTGTGAATACCAAGCAGATCACACATCTCCTGGAACAGTCTTGACTCGAAATTCCTTTCTTGGTCAGTATGAAGCCCCAAGGGAATTCCAAATCTGCTGAAGACATTATTGACTAATACTGCAGCTACAGTCGATGCTTCTTGGTTTGGAATGGCAAAAACTTCCGGCCATTTACTGAAATAATCCAACGCTACCAAAACGTACTTGTTATCCTTGTACGTTTCAGGGAATGGGCCTGCAATGTCAACAGCAATTCTTTCGAATGGAAGTCCCACGTTATATTGTTTCATTTTTCCCCTAGATCTAGTACTTGGCCCTTGGCTTGCTGCACAAATTTTATATTGTCGACACTATTTCTTAACATCTTCGCAATAATCCACCCAGTAAAAATGATCTCTCAGCTTGCTCAAGGTCTTGTTTACTCCAAGATGTGCTCCAGTTTTACCACCGTGAATTTCTTCCAATACCTGGGCAATCTTCTTCCTTGGTACCAGTAACTGAGTTGTTACTGTCCTGCCATCCGCACTTTCCCACGTGCGCTTTAACAATCCATTCTCAATCACCAGTGAATTCCACTGAGCCCAGAGTGCTTTGAAAATCAGCCCTCTGTCCGCAATATCCTGCTACGATGGTATCTCGCCGTTACCCTCCTGGAGCCATAGTATTATTGCTCCGATGTCTGGATCTTCCATTTGGTCTTTCCTCAATTGTGTCGTCGTCCACTGTTCATCAACTCCAAGCTTAAAACTCCTTATCATGACAGTGCCTTCACGCTGTTCTGTTTTACAGCAGTTCTTACAATCGATTTGACAGGGTCTTCTGGATAAACCGTCTGCGTTACCATGCATTTTTCCAGCACGATGTCAGCTGGAGCTTCTCGAGCCATGGAGCTTCTCGAGCTCCAGCAGATACTGCTGGAGCTTCTCGAGCCATCGTGCTATTTGACCTTCAGGTTGTTTCATCTCCATAAGCCACCTGAGAGCCGCATGATCTGTCCTAATTAAAAATTCTTGGTCATACAGATATTTATGGAAACGATCAACTGCCTTTACAATTGCTAGCAGCTCCTTCCGGGTAACGCAGTAATTCCTTTCTGGTTTGGATAGAACTCGACTGTAATATTCTATCACTCGTTCTTCGCCATCTTGGACTTGTGATAGCACTGCACCTATGCCGATGTTGCTGGCGTCTGCGTCCAGGATATACCTCCCTTGTTGTTGCGGGTAGGCTAAAATAGGGCTTGAACATAGACCCGCCTTAAGTCTTTCACAGTCGGTGTTCCATTCGTAGCCAACTTCATCACCTGTAAGCCTATGTAAAGGTACAGCTATATTGGCAAATCCCTTGACAAATCTTCTGTGCATAAACCCAAAAAACTTCTAAGTTCATGCTTGTCGCGAGGTTTAGGCCAATACTTGATTGCAGCGATTTTCTTCTGGTCGGTGTAAATTCCGTCTGCTGAGACTACATGGCCCAAAAATTCCACTTGTCGCTGGAATAAGCTACACTTCTTCGGGTTCAAGTACAGGTGAGCAAAAAATACCGTATGCGGCCGAAGACTTCTAAATTTCGCAAATGCTCCTCAAAAGTTCTTCCCATAACCAATACATCGTCTAGGTAAACCAAGCACGTTTTCCAAGTTAATCCTCTTAACACCACCTCCATGAGACGTTCGAAAGTGGCTGGAGCATTGCATAATCCAAACGGCGTGACCTTGAATTGGTATAGTCCGTTTCCTGTAGAAAAAGCTGTCTTTTCTTTGTCTTCCTCGTCCAGACCGACTTGCCCGTATCCACTCTTTAAGTCGAGAGTGGAGAACCAGCACGAACCTGCCAGTGTGGTTAACGTGTCGTCTATACGTGGCAGTGGGTAGCAATCCTTCCTAGTGACATCATTGAGCTTCCTGTAGTCCACGCAGAATCGTGTCCTACCATCTTTCTTCGTCTCCAAAACAAGAGGTGATGACCATCGACTCAATAAACAGCAGACGATATTATCGCGAAATATGTTTGGTTGCTCGTAATCAGCATTCAAGATCGCAAAATTGGCAAGTGCAAGATGTCTACTAAAGAATATAGTACTAAATATTATTTTGCAAAAAAAATAACTTGCCCCCAAACCACGAGTAAGTTAGTAAAAGTAACATTAAGAAATAAAGAAATTATTAGAACACGTTTCGCTAAAAAGGAAGAAATTGAGATAAGCTCAAAATTAACAAGAGTATAATTACTCAAAACAAATTAACTTAAAAAAAGACAGATTATCAATCGAAACCAAAAAATGAATACTAAAATAAATAAAGTTACAGAATGTTTTAAATTTCCAGGACATTTTAGTCAATGTTTAGAGAATGACCAGCTTTACTTCAAAAATTTATATATATAAAACTACACTTTGTGTAGTTTCTTTGCAGGTAAAAATTGACTTTTCTGGTAAAAAAAGATTGTAACTTAGTTCCTTCTTGATAATAATTTTTATAGTTAAGGACAAATCTTTTTTTTTATTATTATATATTATCTTACCCTTATAAATGTTCGAAAAGCAGAGGGTGTTTCATTAGCCCGCAGCCCCGGATCTAAGGGGGAGCAAACCGGGGCACCTGCCCCGGGCGCCAGTGTCAGGGGGCGCCAAAATCATAGTATAATATACCTAGCTGAAAATCAAAAAAATTGCTCTACAAAGCACCTAGTATGCATCTTACATTCTTCTATCAAGTATTCATTTAATTTTAAAACGCCCAGTTAGTTTTTGAACACATTCCAAAGTTTCATTCAGAACCTCGCATTTAGTGGAATAAATTAGCGGTTTCAATTATTACACTTTATACTTTTTAATTTACGATCGGTATGTTTAGTTTAGGACTGCGGTAGTCAGTTGTGTCCATAAAGAAAGCCAAATACCGTATAATCGAATAAAAACGGCGTCAGCGATGGCTATGAAATTAAGATCGCTGTCATTTTATAATATGTAAAATTATGTGGGAAATGTCATCGATCGTCATTTCATAGCCATCGCTGACGCCGTTTTTATTCGATCATACAGTATTTAGTTTAAAAAACAATAAGTAAACTATTTCTAACCACGTTTTCTCTTGACTAAAGGATGCTAATCAATGGCCAAAATGACATTTCCCGCAAAATTTTAAGTATAATTAGTGGAAAAGTCAAAAGTTTGTTTACTTTTTCTACTAATTGAAAATGACTACCACTAATTTAAACGTTCTGAATGCTTATATTGAAATTAAAGGAACAAACTTCTACGCTAATTGAAACCACTAATTTATTCCACTAATTCGGAGGTTCTTAATGAAGCTTAAGGGCTCATTCTGTCCCGTTTACGAAAAATGCCTACCTATATCTTCATAGATATTTGTAAGTTTTTTAAATTAATTTATTGCAAACGCTGGAGAGAGGGGGCACTACTATCAATTTTCTGCCCCGTTTCAAAAAATTTGTAGATCCGGGGCTGTTAGCCCGTTGCCAAGGGATGAACAAGACTGAGGTCACAAAACACATACACAAGAAGAAGTCCGAGCGCCTTGCTAAATATTGGAAAGCGAAATTGACGTTTAAATTTGACACTGTTGACAAGTCTACTGCTACTAGCGCCCCCAATTTCGCTTGT